CGAGGACCAGATCTCCTTCCTTGAAGCTTCTCTGTCGGACCCTTTTGTTGAAAGCCCTAGATATTCTGGGTTGATACAACTCAATTTGTTGTTGAGCCTCCAAGCGCTTTTCATCCAACTTCTCGAGTTTTTCGAGACGTTTTTGATGCTGTTCTTCTGTCGTCATCTCAGTTGCGAGAGCGATCCGAAGTGACGGGATTTGAATCTCCAAAGGCAGCACAGCTTCACATCCGTATATCAACGAGTACGGGGTGGCCCCTGTAGGTGTGCGTATGGTGGTGCGATAAGCCCAGAGTGCTTCACCGAGTTTATCGTCCCAGTCTCGTTTATTGGTCTTCACGAGCTTTGACAGGATCTTAATGATCGTCTTGTTGAAAGCCTCAGCTAGTCCGTTTGCGGCGGGATAATAAGCTGTCGACGAAACATCTTCAATCTTGAATTTTTCACAAAACCTGATGAAGGCGTTGCTTATGAACTGTGGACCATTGTCATGAATGATCCGTCTTGGCACGCCGTGTCGGTATATGACATGATGTTTGATGAAATTGATGATGTTGTTCGTCTTCACTTCTCTAAGCGGAATCGCTTCAGCCCACTTTACTTTGAGAAATAATCTGTAATTGCGAGGATGAATCGATCGCCTTTGACTGAAGGGGGAAAAATAGGACCGACAATGTCCATACCCCACGTTTCGAACGGCCATGACGTGGTTGACGTGTGCAACTGCTCTGGCGGTTGATGCATATAATTCGCATGTATCTGACAAGCGTGGCATTCTCGTGCGTGTTCGATTGCATCTCGAACCATCGTTGGCCAGAAATATCCCATTCTCCTGATGCGATCATACAGTTTGGGACCAGGCTGATGTGCACCACATTCTCCTTCGTGCGCTTCCTTAAGAACTTCTTCTGCTTCTTTGTTCGAAAGGCATCGGAGTAATAAACCATCGTACCCTCTACGGTATAACGTATGGGTCTCGACATTATAGAAGAATCTTGGCACTCTTCGGCGAATTGATTCCCTTTCTTTTACGTCTTCTGGCAGAATACCATACTGGACGTAGTCAATGATGGGAAAACGCCAATCTCGGGACTCAGACCCAATTTGAGTTGAATTCACCTCCTTGGCGCTTATGTTTCTATCATCTTCCTCTTCAATATCCCTACTGTATATGGGTACGCAGAGTTGATGCGTCCGTACTGTGACTAACAGCTCAGCTTCGGGAGGCTGTGCCAGTGATACTGCTAGTGCCGCCAATGCGTCTGCATAAGCGTTCTAGAGACGAGGGATATATTCGATGAAGAATTCTTCGAAAGATTCTGCCATTTTGATGGCTTCCTGGTGGTACGGGATCAGGTCTTGATTCCTGACTTCATACTCACCGCGAACTTGGTTGACTATCAATTGCGAATCTCCAAAAGCTTCGAGATATTCGACCCCCAGCTCTTTGGCGAAACTGAGTCCAATGAGAAGCGCGTTGTATTCGGCAACATTATTGGAGCACGGACTAGTCAACGAATAAGCCCGAGGCATCACGTGCTTTCCAGGGGAGATTAAGACGACTCCAACTCCAGAGGAAACTGTAGGACATCCCGGGGTTATTACTCTATTAACTGCCCTTGAGGCACCATCGAAGTATAATTGCCATACTTGTTGGTGTGATGTGGTGTTAACCTCGTGGGTTTCATCCGGCAAGTCATCATATACTTCTGCCGTATCTGTGGTCGGGTTTGCCGCCAAAAGGTCACAAATCGCCTGTCCTTTTATCGACTTCTGCTGCTTGAAGTGCAAATCGTATTGGGACAAGAGAAGGGCCCATTTCGCTAACCGCCAATTCATAGAGGCCGGTTGCGTCATAAACACCCGTACTGGATAATGCTTTTTGGCAGGCGTCGTCCCAGATGAATGACACTCCTTTCTTGTTTAGCTTAGAGAATGGTTGGCACTTCCCAGAAAGGTTTGAGATGAACCGCCGGATGTAAGCTAGCCGCCCTTGCAATCCTCTGAGTTCTCTTAGATTTCTAGGGGGTTGCAGTTCATGTATCGCCTTCACCTTATCAGGATCGATATGTATACCTTTAGTGGTGACGACGAATCCAAGGAATTTTCCGCTAGACATTCCAAGGAAAGATTTAGTAGGGTTCATCTTCAATTGATGGCTTTGCATGAGATCGAACATCGTCTTCAAGTCCTTGATGTGATCTTCTTTGTTGCGGCTTTTTACAACCAAATCATCAACGTAGCATTCGACTGTTTTCCTGAGATGTTCTTGGAAAATCTTAGTCATTGCTCGTTGGTATGTGGCGCCTGCATTCTTTAGACCGAATGGCATCACCGTGTAGCAGAATACACCGAGGGGCGTTCTGAATGCTGTATGCTTCTCGTCATCTGGGTGCATCTTGATTTGGTTATATCCTGAAAACCCATCCATGAAAGACATTCTCTTAAATCCGCATGTATTGTCGATAATAACATCCGTGATTGGGAGAGGAAAGTCGTCTTTTGGACATGCCGTATTCAGGTCTCTGAAGTCGATGCAAATCCTGATTTTACCATTCTTCTTCATGACTGGAACGATATTGGCTAAACAATCCGGATGTTGTTCCTCTCGGATAAATCCTGATTCGATCAATTTCTTAACCTCTGCTTCAATGGCTTCCATAATCTGCGGACGAAACCGTCTTTGCTGTTGTTTGACAGGTTTGGCATCCGACTTGATATCGAGGCGTTGCATTGCCATATTAGGGTCGAGCCCTGGCATATCCTCGTAGTTCCAAGCGAAGACGTCAATATATTCCCTGATGAGAGCAATTAACTCCTCCTTCTCATTTGAGGGAAGACTATCGCTGATGAATATCGGCTTTGGGTTGGCCTCGTCGCCCATGTTAACTTGGACTATTTTATCCTCAGTGGGGGGTTCTCTCTGTTCGAACCTGTCACCATACTGCATATTCAGATGATGAACCCACGGGTCTTCCCATGTTGGCATTTGATCATCGTCCTCCATTGTAGACGGATCAGCTGTAGCCATGTTTACCATTAGGGCTTTGAATGCCTCCCCTAGACTTGTGTCGGAATTCCCAGCTGAAGAATCAGAAGAGTATCCGTTCTTAGTTTTGTTAGCAATTTGATCGATGATCTGCCAACCACATTCCTCATCGGATGAGGAAACATAGCCTAAGCCCCGCCCGTATTTATAATAATCCTCAGATTTCCCTTTTGGTACATATACCGCTTTGGCTGGATTACGAGAACCTCGGTCGAAGTATAGACCTTCTCCGAGTGTGAAATCGTACCCCTGCTTTTCCATGAGCTTACGCGCTTCCGGGCTATACTTAGATAAATGCCAACCAGGTTTGTCGTCATCTTCATCTTCACTTAGGAAATGATCTGGTAACGGAGAGCTTTTTCCTTTACCATAAATTACTTCTTTTGCACCTCCTATCTTGTTCGGGATGATCATAGTTGTTCCAAAAGAATGCTGGAGGCGTTCCTTTGTTACATAGGACGACCGAAGCGGCATATACAAATCAGGATTATCATACAATTCTGGACGATTGTTCATCGTCAAGGTTGATTACAAAGGGTACAATGTCATTTAGAACATAACCGCCATTGTAATCAAATCCGGCTTCGGTATCAGCTTCTCCTCCGCTGTCCGTGCCTTGGGCCGATGATTCAGTATCTGATTTGTTACCATAAAGGAGAGAATCAGTGAAATAATTCTCATACCCTTTAAATGGTTGTTTATCCGCGACCACCGTTCTAACCAAATTATTAGCGTCGACATATTTCAAACACTGATGGAGAGTTGAGGGGATTATAACGTTACTATGGATCCAAGGTCGACCCAATAGTAAGTTATACGAAGTTTCAGCATCGATCACATAACATGTGACTTCTGTCTTCA